GAGGTTAAACTTTTTCTGATTTGTCATGAATTGTAAAAGAGCCCCTGTCCAAGGGGTTCAGCCTATGTGGACATTAATGTGGGGACTAAAAATTAACGAAATTACTGAGATTAAAAAATTAATGTGGTTAACGAGCCTGTTGAATAAGTGGTATATAGAGTCGTCTGATTTAAAGGATACCAGGAAATGCCTTCCACCCCCACCCTCTAAAAGTCCTCTGACTAGTTTATGAAGCATTGACAAATGGTGGTCAAAAGAAAGGATACTAGATCACTCTCAACGTCTCTCTTAAGAGCTTTGGAATTGAGGGACAGCAAGGTGGCACAGTGGATAGAGCACTGGCCCTGGAGTCAGAAGGATCTGAGTTCAAATCTGGCCTCAGACACACTAGCTGTGTGACCCTGGGCAAGTCACTTAACCCTGATTGCCTAGGGAAAAAAAAAAGAACTTTGGAATTGATCGTATGACATGGGAGACACTGGTGCAGGACCACATCAGAGAAGGTGCTATCTTTTATGAGCAAAGCAGAATTGAAATAGCTCAAAAGAAACATGAGATGCACAAATTTAGAGAATCCACCCCCAATGTTCCCACGGACCATTTGTGCCCGACCTGTGATAGAACATTCTGAGTTCAAGTTGGTCTGATCAGCCATAGTCGAATACGCTGTATCTTGACCCTGACTTAGTGATGTCATTTTGGTCCTCTTTGAGAAGGATGACAACCAGTCTTAGAGATTTATTCCTTTGGATAAGCTCTAAGACTTTGAAACATTTAAGGCAATCTATTAAAATGCAAATATCCCTAGGACAAAGGTTCTTAACCTTTTCGTGTGTCTTGGATCCCTTTGGTAGGTACAGGTACTGCTAATACTACTGTGTTTTGTTGCCTACATTCATTATTGAAGGCAATGCTCAATTGCAGCTCAAAACAGCTCTCGCCCTTGAAACCTATTGTTTTCAGAGATGGAGGCTGGATGAGATAGTGCTCATTTTTAGCACCCCTCCTCATCCTTGGTTAATAGGCAAAGACTACAAACTCACTGAATCTTTTTAAGAAAACAAAGTACTTAAGGAAAGATGCATTTTCAAGTTCAAAGACCCCTTGACTGTCTATAGACTCTGTGTTAAGTTAACTCTGAGTTAAGACTCCTTGCCCTAGGAGAAATAACCTTCCATGTAGGCAGAGTAAAAACAATTTTAGAATGAAAATTGGAAGGCCTTAGACACCAGCTGCAGGCTTTAACAGTGGATAGGTGTCCCTAGCATCTGAACTCTAATCTGGAGAACGAGTGCCTTAGCACCTAACGTTTTTATGAAACTCTAAGGAAGTAACTTAAAAATACTTACAAAAACATGTCTTACAGGGGGAAGTTTAAAATACAGTCCTCCCCAAAGGGGACACATTGGAATCTATAAAAAGGGGCTTCCAGGAAGAGGAAAGACCCTCAACAGGGGAAACAGGTAGGTAGTTACTTTACAAAAGATTGCCGAGGTCTACCCTTCAGTTGTGTTTTTGTAAAAGACTCTTTTGGCAAATGGTTTGTGGTCATGGATCTTTTCCTTCCATTCTTCTCATTTTAATATTCTGGGGCTTCACTTTCTTTACCAAAGTCTTATTCTGAGGCTTCATCCTGGCATGAAGATGGAGCAGTTCTTGAAGTCTGTGCCAACAGAACAGGAGCTGTAGTGTGCCCTACCAATCTGGGAAAGCTTGAGCTACATTATGTCAAAGGGTATGGCCATTACCTAAAATTTAGCCTAGCTAATTTAGTCCAAAGAGGCTCATCATCACCCTGTAGACTGAAGGGTAATGATTTTTTTTTTATAATACCTTGTAAAAACAGTAATAATCAATTTATCCTTCAACAAGCATTCATTAAGCACCTACTGTGTATCAGACTCTGGGGGTACAAAGATGAATATGAGAGAGTAGTCTGCCTTCAAAGTGCTTACATTCTGTTGAAAGGGGGAAGAAATAACATTTATTAATAGAACAAGTGCTCACACTGACAAAATCATAGATCGTTGAACTACAAGGTACAGTAACAATTCCACTTGCTGATGTGTTAAATATTAACACAGGAAATATCATTCCAGTTAAAAAATGTTGTGTAACCTTATGTGTACTATAATTATCTCAGATGTGATTGTACAAATGTCTGAGGCCAAGGGAAAGGGAAAGAAAAAAGTAGGAGAGGAGAAAAGTGAAGACGGAAGGGTTAGGGAACAGAAAGCAGAGGAAAGCATGGTGACAATGCTTTCTGCTTTCTTTAAGAGTTAATGCTTGAGAAAGGAGGAAATTCCAATTTTCTAAAAAACAAAAAACCAAGATTGTTTTTCTTTAATTTAGTGCAGGGGGTCTTAACCTGGAGTCCATGAATTTAAAAAAATATTTTGAATGTTGTATTTCAATATAATTGGCTTCCTTTATAGTCTTAGGTAGTTGATTTTATTCATTTAAAAACATTCTCAGAAATGGTTCATAGGCTTCATCAGACAACCAAAGGGGCCTAGGGTAAGAAAAAAAAAGGTTTTAGAAACCCTTACTTTATTGGGACTATTTTGATGACACTCAAAGTGGTTTAACTTGATGCTAAAGATCTGGACAGCAGGTGATATAAAGGAATTTAACCTATTACTAGTTATTTTCTAGACATCTTTGTTGTCTTTCACAGTGGTTCTTACCTACACCCTAAACTTTTCTGTCTAGCCAGAACCTTAAGTTTGATCCAGTGTGCAAGAGTTGTGGGTGTGGTAAAATAAACCCAAATATCAAATGAGCTATTATTTGTAAAAGTGCTTAGCACAGTGCCTGGTACATAGTAGGTGCTTAATAAATGCTTGTGCCTTCCCCCCCACCCCTCAGTACTTCAATTGCTCAAGGAAGAAAAAAGACAAAATGTAGACTCTAATCTTGCCCTCCGCTGAGATAAAAATGCCATCTAAGTTTATTCTTCGGACTCCTCTATGTCTTAAATTCTTCTTTTTTTTCCCAAGATGCCTACTTAAAAACTAGGATTACAGAAAGTAAGGGGATTTTCTCTCCCTTGGGAGAAAGAGGAAGTAAGTGCCAGTGTCTGGTAGAAAGGATACTCTAACCTTCATCATTCTAAGGCAATAGATGAAGAACACAAAATCACTGGGTTTTTTAAAAGTACATAATGAACCTATATACTTTAACTCCTATAAAAGCATTCCTTTTTACCAAAAAAAAAACAAAACAAAAAACAAAAAACTCTTCCTGTCCCCTTCCCCCCAACAAGGACTTATGCTGATAGTAGAAGCATAAAATCATTGCAAGTTAAGAATTGGAAGAGACCTTAGTAATGTATTCGTCAACCCTTTTCATTTTTGGTTGCTGTAAAAGGAATCTGATCTCTGATCTGAGCTTGCTTATTGTAGTATATAGTATAAAGTGCTGGTCTAAGTCTAATTTCTGCCAGACCACTTTACAGTTTTCCTAATCATTTTTGTCAAAAAAGGAGCCCTCCTCTTAGTAATGTTTTAAATTTTATCAAATATTGGTCTACTGTTTTTGATTGTTACTATTCCTTTTTTATCTAGCTCATTCCACTAACCTACTTTTCTGTTGTTAATTAGTTTTTCAACATTACCAAAACAGTTTGATGACTACTATTTTATAATATAGTTTGATGTCTGGCAATGCTAAATTCTCTTCATTTACCTTTTTTTCTCATGATTTTCCTTGAGATTCTAGATTATTTATTTTTCCAAATATTTAAAAAAATATTTTGTTCAGTATCCGGTAAGCAATTTGATTTTTATCATAACACTAAATCTGTGAGTTATTATTATATTAGCACTTTCTAACCATTGGCAGTGAATAGCTCTCCAATTAGTTGCAATGTAGGAATGATCATTGATACCTCAGTGACTGGGTTTCAAAAACTGAGGCTTCCTCCTGATAATTGATAGGAGAATCAAAACAGATGCTTGTCAGAGGAGCTGCCGCATCTCTGGGTTATAAAATGTAGCCTTGAGTCCAATCCAAGCCCATTTGTCTAGACTCTCCCTCTTCAGGGCTGTCTCTTTGCCTTTTCTCTTGTGTCTACTGTCAGGGTACAACAAGGTCAGGGTTGATGATTTATCTCTTTTCCATCTCTGGAGCAGAGAATGGCAATTTGGAGAAGCACATGGCAGAAGCCAAAACTGAAGAGGAAAAGAGAGAGTTTGTAAGAGCAAGAGAACTATCACATTGGTGTTTCTATAGATCACAAAGGATCAACAAAAAGTCCAGTCTCTCTAACTCTCAGTCACTACCCTTCTTGGAGTCAGCCCCAGTCACCAGAAACCAATCAGAGGAAGGCCCTGTGTTTTTCAGCAAGGTGCCAGGGTACATGTCCATGTGTCTCCCTGTTTCCCCATGCCCCTGCCCAACCAGATGTCCTTCAGACAAAAGGTCTATGTTCCTATAATCTCAGCTTGAGTGGGGAACTTAACAAATTGATGATGGGCATTCCTTTTGTGTAAAGATTGGACTAAATGAATGCTGAGGTCCCTTACCACTCTCAAATTCTGTGATTCTCTCATTAGGGGCTGTCCTGATCACCCCCCCCTTCTTACATACTCTTTATCTCTGCAATTATTGTTTTGTGGTTGTATTTTTATAAATCTTGTATATGTCGTGGTAGGTTAACTCCCAGACATTTTATTCTTTTAAAAGTTATTTTCAATGGAATTCTGCTTATTAATTCTTGGTTTTGTAAGTAATGTATAGAAATAATTATTTTGTGGGTTTATTTATTTGCATACTATAATGTTGTTGAAGAACTTAATTGTCTCATTGGTTTCTTAACTCATTTGCTGGCACTTTCTAAATATGCCATCATGGCATCTAAAAATAATGATAATTTTATTTCTTCTTTATCTAGTTTTATATCTTTAGTTTTGTTCCCGTAACAGTTATAGCTAATATTTCTAGAACTATGTAATTTGGGGGGGGGGATTACTTTAATTGAGCTGTCTGTATTTTCCCAGATGGCCAAGAAACTTTCTAAGTTGGCAATCTGTTTGCTCATCCTCTTCCTAATCGTTTTGGGCATTAGCGCCGTTTTGCTGTGGCTTCTGATAGAGAATCCTCTTCAAGGTAAAATTCACATGACACTTGGAGCTTACAGAGTTGGGAAGGGTTGTTGTTGTTTTTTATTTTTATTTTTTAACAAAAGTCCCTCTGTGTGGGTCTCAGTTGTGAGAATATGGTATAGGAAAATATTTGTCTTGAAATTCTCTTTACTTTACACCACATTATCTCTTCCATCATTTACAAATACATTTATACTATTTAGTAATTAAAGCTCATTTGCAATGTATTTCTTTCTCCTACTATTAATAGTGTTTTCTCCCTCCTCAATTTGCTGTCTATTCTATTCAAGTACATGCTGTATCCTGCCCAAACCCAGTAGAATAAAAACTCTTTGAGGAGTTTTGAGGAACATTGGTTTTTTATCTTGTTACCTTTCTGAAGCTGCTAATTGTTTCATTTGGTTTCTTTATTGATTAGCAAATGGGATAATTTTGTCCCTTCTTTGCTGATATTTATAGTTTTAACTTTATTCTCCTGTCATTGCTATAGCTAGCACTTCTAGGACTTAGTCAAATGGGGCCATTATTTTAATTGAGCCATGTGCCTAGATGTACCCAACCTACTTAGAGCAGAGCCTGGTACTTAAATGATTGGAGAATTGAGATTTGTTCTTTCAGATACATTTCTTAGCATGGTGGTTGTGCACCATTTAATCACTGATTCTGTCATTCTTTTCCTGTCACCCTGACATATTTCTATCAGGGATTAGAACCACATGGAATAATGGAATAGGTTCCACTATTCTCACTGCCAATCTCTTTTCTTTCAACTGAATTAAGAGCTAAGTAACTGAGATAGGCTAAAGCTATTCGCTTCAGTTATAATGAACCAATCCATTGCTATCCATATTGTCCAAGATTGCTTTATTTTGCTCATAGACCAATTCCTTTTAGTTAATTCCCCTCTCAGCTACCCACCAGAACTACCAGAATGCCACCCCTCCTCAACCCATGGCACACCATGAAAATGTATGCCAGACCCTAAATGTTATACATATAATAAAATCTTATATATAATCTGGAAAGAATACTGGATTTAAAGTCAAAGGACCTGTATTCCAATCCCAGCTGGACTCCTTATTGTCTTTGTGATTGATTTTGGCTAAGTTCCTTAACCACTTCTGGCCACTGATTCTTCATTTGTAAAATGAGGGAGGTTGGATCACAGGACCCCTGATGACTCTTCCAGCTGTAATGCCATTCATAATGATCAGTTTTCAAATAAAATGACAGTTACACAAAATTGGGTTTGGCCACGCCAGGACAAATCCTGCAATGCAGCTTTCAAAAAGTTGAGAGAGGTTGGGTGGGTTGCATGCATAGCATATGATGGGAAAAACACTTCATTTATAGATGAGTAAATGGTGGCCCACAGGTTTTAAATAACTTGTCTTATGGGTCATAATCTAGTAAGTTCAAATATAAGATCTGCCACTTACTACCTATATGACCTACATGACCATTTACTACCTATATGACCTATACTGCCTATATGGTGCTCTGGACCTCAGTTTAGACTAGATGACCTTTAGATCTTTTCCCCTCTGCTGATTTTCTAGGGGAGTGAGGCTTTGGATTGTTTCTAAGTCATTTGTTCTTTTTTTGGGGGGGACAGTGGCCATGGAGGTTTTTCACCTCTACTCTTTAACTTCCTATGCAGATGTCCCCTTTACTCCAGAGTGCCTGGATACCAACCTGGCAGAAAGGATAGATTGTATTCCTGACGAGTTGGCAACAGAGGTTTGAGAAATGGGTTCCTTTCACCTTATTAAGTAGAAAGTGGTACTTGGCGGTGGTGGTGGTGGTTGTGGGGCATGGGGAGTTGAATATATCACCGTGGCCATTTATACGTATTGTATTCTATTGGAGTTCTCTCCACAGAGATATATGGGAAAGAGGATGGGGAAGTCGGTGGGGACTGCTAACGTGCTAGCTTGTGGGAACCATTTAGTGCAGCCCTGTGGGTAGAGATTGAAATGCTTGCTAGATATTTGATGTCCAAGAGTCTGAGCTAGAAACAGTTCTGATGCTATATGATAGAGTAGGAGAGAGATTGAGACAGAAGACAAAAATGTTACTGCCCATAGGTCCTGTCTCCATTGTATAGTTAGATAATAAAATTCAGATTACTTTAGGTATAGTATTTGCCTGAAACAACTGAATGATACTATACTTGCGTTTCTTTCTCCAGCTCATTTTACTTTTCCAGGATCACACAGCTAGTAAGTGTCTGAGGCTAAACTGGAGCCAGAGGACTTGGGTTCAGATTGCACCTCTTATTAGCTATATATTGCCTTGAACAATTCAATGAACAACCACTGACTTTATTGTTCTCATTTAAAGGATGAGGTGGTTAAACTAGATGACCTTTGAGGTCTCTGCCATCTCTAGAGCTGTTTCTTCACCCTATTAGTAGGCAAAGATGACCTGTTAATTAGAAATTTGAGATTCTTACTGTAAACCTTGAGTCTGCAACTTATGCCCGAGAGCTGGCCAGATTGTCACTGTACGCCCCTATTCATAAGAAGAGAGGGGAAACCCTGGAAAGTACAGACTAGAAAGGCTATTTCTATATTTATGTAGGTTGCTAGATTTGAAAGATAGGCTCATTGAGCACTTAAATAGAAGCAATAAAGTGAGAGAAAGGACATATGGTTTCTTTAAGGAGAAATAACCTATTATAATTCTTTGAAAAGATGAATAGGTAGGGTGAGAAAAGAGAAGTAGGGTATGAGATAAAGCTTCACCTTCAAAGAGTCTTTGTTAAAATTCTGTATCAAAGGTTACTAAAAAGAATTACATCACCATAGGACTGAGGAAAATTGGAATTTTTATGTTGGGTCAGAGTCATATGCTAATGGAGGCCCCAAGCGATGCACAATGGAAGGTTAGAGATATCCCAGATTTTTTAGTCAGCATTTATTATTTATGCCATTTATAGATTTATACGAAGTCTTGTTGAGTCAGGCAAAGCATATGCACATAGTAAGCACTTAATAGCTGCTTGTTTCTTCCTTCCTTCCTTTCTTCCTTCCTTCCTTCCTTCTTTTTTTCCTTCCTCCCTCCCTTAATACTCATAAAAAATTAGGGAAAGGGCCAGTTTAGGGAAGAAGATGATGACTTCATTTTAGACAAGTCAAATTGGATCCTATGGCAGGAGAAAGATGGTGTTATGTAACTGGCAAAATTTTCCATGTCAGACATTATATGATAATTGAATATAAAAATCAGTTTCCCTACAATTTCCCATGGATCTGTCATGAGTACCTACCTAAACTTCCTTAGCACTGATTTATTAATTTGAATTAAGTCTTGTCCTTAATGGTGATGATGGTGGTACATCTTTTTTTTTTTAAGATTTAAATGCTAGCTTAAGGTTGGGGGAGAGAGAGACAGGGTTGTGACAATATTTGCTTCTCTATTTTAATAGAAGAATGAAGAAGTCATGCAGTAAATCTCCAAACTCTAGACCCAAAGTCATAAAATTAAAAATACAGCTGAGTCAGAATTTGCTGTGGTAAATTATTACATAGGGCACAGACTCCTACCAAAACAATAAGGAAGAGAATAATTTATTTTGATGAAGTTCTGATAGAAGCAGTCTCAGGATAAGTCTCTATCTTACTATTACTCTTATATATTTAATATTCTAAGACTATTGCTCAGGTGGAGGAAATGACCTTTTTTAAATTGAATAAGAATATTGAGATGAAGCACATCTTCTGTAGAATGACTGAAAGCATCGTTGGGACAATTGTAGTAGCAGACAGATGATAGGGATGATGTGCACATTGTGCTATTCTCCCATGATTTGAATGTCTTCAACTAGGTTTCTATATTTTGAAGGCTTTTCATTCTATATGGTTTGAAGATGATCAGTTTTCAACATACTGACATCTATTTAAAACATTGTTCTTCAATTTTTATGGATGACTGTTGGGTTCCAGCAATTGTAGGCAACACTCCTGTCTGTAATGATGCACTGTTTCCAGCATAGCTTTCTTTGTTCTGAAGGAGTTTGGTGGGGCGGGCTTGTATTTGTTGGGGAAGGATTCATAATCTCATGGTTTATTCAGAATAACAAACTTCTGTTGTATAATCCTAACAACACGATCACGTCTAAGTACCCAGTAGATGTTAAATTATTTCAGCCAGAAGTGTTGCATTGCACAATTTTGACCAATTAATTCCATAATCTTCAATTAATAAAGCTGGGCTCCTTCAGAAATACCTTTCTGTAACTTTTGGTGGCAATGACCAATCCTGAATCACTGTCATAAACTTTTTCATTTATATAAACAAATCTGCATTACTCAGTCATTTCTTGAATGTATTTTTGTCCACATATGGTTGACTCAGTTCACGTGTGTGTGATCCACAGAGCTCTTTTTGATTCCAATTTTAGATCTTAGTTTTCCATAAACTCTTCCTAGAGATAATCTATTTCACCAGCCTGGTGAGATACCTATTGTGAGACTTTATTTACTTTACTCATTTGCTTACTTTTATTTACTTTATTTACTCTTGTTTTGTTCAGGGAAGTCTGTTTGTTCCATTAACTAGCTAGTGCAATGGAGAGACCACTGGGCTTCAAGTCAGGAAGACCTGAATTCAGATCTAGCCATAGCTACTCACTGTGTGACCTTGGCAAGTTACTTAACCTCTATTTGCCTCAGTTTTCTCAATTGTAAAATGGAAACAATAACAGCACCTACATCACAGGGTTGTTGTGAGGATGAAATGAGATGCTTGTAAAAAGTACTTAACACAATGCCCAGCATATAGAAGGGGCCATGTAAATGTATGTAAATGCTAGTTATTGTCATTATTATTATTAGTCATTAGTATTATGATTATGCTCTCTGCAAATCTTTATCATTCCCTTTTCTCATTTTTGATGAGGCAGTATGAGTTTTTATAGGGCTGCATTTGTGTGATTAACCCTGTGTTTCATTAACATTGTACAGGACAATTTATTATCATATGTTTTGCTGTGCCAAAAGTACACATTAAGGGTGGTATTGCGTATGTGTTAATAGCTCTGGATGTTTTCCTATTAAAATTTTATTTTAGAATTCTAGTCAGTGTCTTAACATGCACAGTCTCAGCTTTCTCCTTGATACTTTTATATACAATGTGTCTTGCCTTGAGAAACTCAAGATTGTGTGTGTGTGTGTGTGTGTGTGTGTGTGTGTGTGTGTGTGTCTTTATCACTAACAGGACAAGGCTGTGTGGTGCTATGGAAAGAGAGCTAGGGGCTAGGAGATTTGAGTTCAAGTCAACAACTTGCTGTCTGTATGGCAGGCTATCTACTCTCAGAGATGTGGTTTCCTCACCTGGGAAATGTGGAAGTGGGATGCTTTCTAAAGTCACTTCCAATTCTGATATTCTGCGATTTTGTGTTATAGAGAGTGCAGTGGGGAGAGAAGTGAGGAGTACAGAAAGCCAAGTGTGAATCAGGTGGCAAGCAAAGAACCTTTGTCATGGATAGCAAGGGATATAGGATCTTAAGGGGAAAAACTGGTTTCAATTGGTGCTGGGAGTTGGAAGGAGCATAGAAAGAAGAGCTCTAGGATGAAGGGAAACTTACTAACAACAGATTGAGGGCTGTAAAAGACATACAGAAAGGGAAGAGTCAAGAACGAGAGTGACTAGGGAGAGCTAGGGCTCAGGAGAGTATTGGAAGAGATGGAGGGGCATTCGAGGAAATGAGTTTTTCACCCAGGGAGATGGTAGTTCTAAAAGGCAGGAATTAGAGGAGCAGAAGACTGGGTTTTGCTAGGCATAGGACAGAAGGTACTCCAACCAAGTAAGTGGAAGTTCTTAAAATAAATTGGGTTCAAGATTCTAATTAGAATGTTGGTGTGATGCCAACATTGTGTTATCATTCCATTATCACTTACTTGATTGCAGTGGAGGAAAGGCCAGAGATCATGGGGACCATGAGGATCCAGATACTCAAGGAGGACTTTACCAATCCTGTGTCCAAGGTGGTTTCCACTCAATTGATTGCATCAGGGAAGAGTAAATATTAAAGTACTCTAGACTCTAGACCCTAAAGTGTACAGGACATAGAAGGAAGATTTTCTCCACCCCCTTTAGATCATGGGCATAGAGGCAGGGTGTTTGTGTGGGTGGGGGGAGGGATCAGAGACTGAAGATGAAAAAACCATAAAGCCATTAAAGGAAAATCTTGTTTTGTTAAAACCATCGCCATCTTTTTGCCAAAGGGAACTGGGGTCAGAGATACGTCAAAAAATGGCCAAATGGTAACCTCCTCCCCTGAACGGCAGTGGATGGAATCAAGAGTCAGTAGGTGGCACTCAGCCAGGAGGCAATGGTAGGAGGGAAGACTTAGGATAGCTTTGTAGACATACATCCCAGGAGACTGAGTCTTGGTCTGGGACATTAGCTTCAGTGCTGTCCAGATTGTGATCTCTGTGTGTTTTCATCACAGGAACTCTGTCACCGCCGCCAGTGTTGCTGGAGGCCTCAGGAAAACAGCAGTGCCCCCTCCTGCTTCTTCCCCACAAATGGGGGCTACAAAGTCACTGAGGGGCCCACATATGCAGACGAAGGTATATGTTGCTCAGGGCTGACTTAGTCGATGGAATGAATACTGCGCAGATGAGCCAACAATAAAGAATGTTTCTCTCTCTCTCTCTCTGTCTCTCTCTGTCTGTGTCTCTCTGTCTCTCTCTGTCTGTCTCTCCCTCCTTCCCTCCCTCCTTCTTCCTCCCTCCCTCCCTCTCTCTCTGTCTCTCTCTTCCCTTCCTCCCCCTCTCTCTGTCTGTGTTTCTGTCTCTGTGTCTCTGTCTCTCTCTCTCTCTCTCTCTCCCTTCTCAGGATTTACAGCCAAGTTGAGAAGATTGCCCTCCTCATCTCTGTTTGGATATGATATCACTGACATTCTTCTCACGGCAGAATACCAGACAACTAATCGCTTTCACTTTAAGGTTGGTTTGGGAGTTATCTAAGGAGCTACATTTATTAAGAATGTTACATATTAAACAGATCTCTCTGTACATTACTGCAGAGGGAAAAGGACATGGGATCATAGCACAATGGAAAGAGTGCTAGAATCAAAGGGAAGACCTGTGTTCAAATTCTGCCTCTTAACACTTTTTGTGTGACCTTGGGCAAGTCATTTAAACTCTTTGGGACTCAGTTTTTTCTTCTGTAAAATGGAGGGGCTGAACTAGATAGCATCCCTTCTGGTTCTCCATCTAGGATTTCATAAATCTAAGCAACATGGAGACATAGCATAGTATAATGGAAAGAGCCCTAGACTTGATATTGGATTTAAATCCAGGATCTGGTACCCATGAGTGTGACCGTGGGTCACTTAAACCCCTGAGCCTCAGTTTCCACATTTGTAAAATGGGGAATAATAATTCTTGGGATCATAAACATTAAAGCGTTGTTGCTAAAAACAAAACAAAACATAGCATCCATTAAAATAAGAAATCAAAGTTCCTACTTCTAATCTTAAGGAAGAGATATGGTCAGACAGCCTCAATCAATCAATTAACACTTATTTAAGTGCCTACTGTGTGCCGGGAACTGTGCTAAGCACTGAGGATACAAAAAAGAGGCAAAAGACAGTTCCTGCCCTGGAAACAACACGCAAACAAATACATGCAAAGCAAACTATATACAGGATTAATAGGAAATAACAGTGAAGGCACTAGAATTAAAAAGGATTGGGGAAGACTTGCTATAGAAGGTGAGATTTTAGCAGATTAGAAACATATCCACAATACGCCAGGGTGCCGAGTAGAATGTTTCTGAGGCAGAATTTAAAGCCTAAAAGTATTAGAATTGGAAGGAATCTTAGAGATAATGTGACCCAACCCCCTCATTTCACAGCTGAGGAAACTAAGTAACTTCCCCAAAGTCATCCAGCCAGTTAGTGGCAAGGTTGGAGGTAGAGGCTAGGTGTGCCAACTTCCTGCTCCCCACTTCCCATGACAGAGTTTAAGGAGTTGGAGCTATTTCCAGTGTGATGGTAGCAGGGCACAGTGGTGAGGCACAGAGAGGATGCAGAGCTGAACTGCGGCCACCTTAGGATTACTCCCTTTCCAACCCGCAAACAAAGGATTTCAACAGTTTGCTGGTAAATGTTTACCAGCCACTCTGAAAAAAATAAAATGTACCCATGATATACTTTCAGTTTAATTTGCATTATTAACATTTTTTCCACCACTTTCTTAAGGCTAGACAATCAATAAAACAATAAATTTGTAGCTTTTGAGAGTTTCTGAGGTGTAAAGCTCAAGCTGAAAATTTAACTATCAGTTATCATAAGACGACATAAACTGGCCCAGTAAATGCCCCAAATGCCCTACTTCCTCTGGAATTCTCACACTATTAGCTAAGGAGACTCTTTGAAGGAGAAATCCTGGATACTAGAGCTGCAGTGGTAAGAATGAGTACATGGAAGTATAGATCTTCCCTGCATCCTCGAGCCTGTCTGCCAGCAGGGAAACTGCCATGAGAATTCTCAAAACACTGTCGTGGCTAGGGGTGGGGTACCTGTAGGGGGATGGTTTGAAGGGTAAGCTTGGAGTTAGTCCTTTGTCCCATATCGAATTTAAAGGAGACAGATTTCACCTCAGTATAAGAAAAGTTTTCCTAATGATTAGGGCTGCCCCCAGAATGAAATACATTTCCTTGATAGGCACTGAGTTTCCCTTCAATAACCTAGGCTGGATGAGTCCTTCCTGGAGATGCTGTAGAAATGATTTTTTTTTAAGGTCCTTTGGATTGAACCAGATAGTATCTGACCTCTTTTCCAATTCTAGCATTCTGGTTTTTCTGTCCTTTGTTTCTCTCCTGGCAGATCAGTGATCCTGACAGGAAACGGTATGAGGTCCCCCATGAGCACGTTCAACAATTAGACCAAAAGGCAGCCTCCAATTTGAGCTACCGTGTAGAAGTCACCAATAATCCCTTCGGCATCAAAATAAGAAGGACAAAAAACAACAAAGTTCTGTGAGCATTTCTTTGTGCGTTGACTATATTGCCAAATCTTACCATTTCTTATTGGAGAAAGCCAGGCTGAGTTGTAAAAAAAAAAGTTTGAATGTCAGAAAATGTTCAAAGAAATTCAATTTTATTACTTTGAAGTGAATTCATTAACACAGATTTGCAAACAAGTTTCTAAGCGGAATTCTTGTTGGATACTGGAAGAGGTATATTTTGCCACGGAGTCTAGATGGACGATACAACTATCAATCTTTTACTTAAAAGTTTAGACATGATCAAAGAATGCTAGACTATAAGACAGGCACACATTGGTGCTATTATTCAAGTGTAACTTTTAACAGGGGTGAATTTAGCTAGGACCCTATGATACCAATGTGGTCTCCCCCCCCCCTTCCTTTGACAACTTATTTAGTTTTTTATTTTCTTGCTTGCTTGATTATTTGTTTTCTATATGAACTAGAAAATTCATTCTTAGCCAGGTCTAACATAATGGTGATGGGTTGTGTCTGAATGTATAAAATATTATCTTTTTCCTCTTCTTCAATAGAATCCTAACCTAGGCAGAACTGAAACCAGGTACTTCTGCACCTGAATCAAGGGAGGGAGTCAAAAGGTGACTGCAGTAGCAAGATAGTGGAAATAGGAGAGGGCTCAACTGGAGCTCAGCCATTAGTGAGAAGGGTGGAATGAAGTAGACCCTGGGACAGCGTGAGGTATCTGTGTTCCTGAAGGACTGGTTACTGATGGGGAGGTACGGGATAGGGTAAGAAGTGAGTCTGGGGACGATGCTAATGGGGTACTTTAAATTTTGGTGCCCGTGAAAAAGCACTGGTTATACCATCCTGCTTAAAGTTTCTGAACCTGGTAAGTTTTGTCAACGTCATCTTCTACAAGACTGACAAACCTAAATTGTGACAACAAGGTCTTCTGTGAAAAGTGCAAAGTTGAGTTATGTAATTGTCAGTGATCTAAACCAGGACGCCTTTAGGGCTCAAAGTAGCAAAATACACTAAGGAAGAACTTTCTGCTCTTCATTTTAGCCAATATCTGGCAGAGACAACTTGTTAATATACATATATTTCTGCTTGGAGAGAGAGGTCCAAACTGGCAAAGTTTCCCCTGCTAATTAGAATTCTCCCCAACCCAATGTCCTTGAACAATTTATAGTAATTATGAAACAAAAGAAACCATTCCACAGCAAAACTAAACAAAGGTACGACATTGAGGTTTAGCAATTTTTTGAATTTGTTCCAAAGGAATAGGACTGATATCAACATTGGCCCACCTTAGAGACAGATTTTCTGGAAACCACCTGTTCCCTCTTTAACCACTCCCGCTATAAAGATTTCCTCTTTCAATCTGGCCAATGGTAATGACTTTGTCATTCCACTCTTAGTTTGATCACCATAAATAAAACTAATTCTCTTCATTTCAGAGAACCAAGATCCCTTCCTAAACTTGAATAGGGTCTACTAATTTAATAAAACTTTGATTCAAGTGAAGTCAAGAACTTCAGAGTGGGACATTATCTCTTTGGCATTGTCTTCTAGTAGAAAAAGCCTGGAAAGGTTTTCCATTGATGTGAAACCAAGGATTTCTGTCTTTGTATTACTGTTAAAACATTATTTCTTAATATTTCATAACCACCAAAGTCTTAGTGCTGTACATGTCCACAATAAATAATGAATGCTGGAGTACAGAAATAAGATGCTCATAATGAAAATAAAACTTAAAGACTGAGAAGGTCTGCTGTCTCAGCTCTAGAATTCAGGACTTTTTAAACTTTTCCACTCCCATCCTTTCAGTGCTCTTAAACTGTGGGTTGTGACCTCATATGAGGCTGTGAAAAATTTGGCAACAGTAAAAGGTTTCTAAAAATGTAATGATCAAAAATTAATTCAAAATCAAATGTGTAATGAATCCAAATTGTTTCTGGCAGTGCTTGGCCATGTTATATTGTGCAACTTCATGGTGGCCTTGGTTCTGAACACAAAGCATGTTCCCCCAATTTAAAAAGTACTGTCCTAGATAATTTTTATTTTCCATTTACCTTGATGAAAGCACACCTCAAATTTTATTAACCTTGCAGAGGATGACAAATGGGAAGCTGGACTGACGATGACATGCCTTGCTTGGGCCAATCAAATTTTGGAGACAGCTTCCTTGACTTCTAGAGAGAGCTAGTCTAAGCCAACATGGCAGTCAAGCCCTGGTATTCTGTTATCCTGGTAAATATTGCTTTAGCCATAGGAAAAACAGCTGGCTGAGTAGTGAGTATGGGAAAGGAGAGCAGATAAAGTTTCCTGGAAAAAAAAATAAAGATTGTTCCTTGACTTTTTCTTATTTCTTTCCATGTGTGTCCAGGTTTGACACAAGCATTGGACCCCTCCAATATGCTGAGCAATACCTGCAGCTCTCTGTCCAGTTGCCTAGTCACTATGTGTATGGATTTGGGGAACATGTACACCAGCAGTACCTTCATAATATGGACTGGAAAACTTGGCCTATCTTCACCAGGGATGCCATCCCTAATGATGTGAGGACTCTACTATGCCATCCTTTGTTTGCCAAAATACCTAATACCTCATTTTTGGGAACAGATCAATATGTGGAAAATTCATTTGGTGAATTTCCAGATATTAGTGTCTAATCTTTCTACTAATTTTGATATAAAATTTTATACGCACACACATGTTTAGAGGGAAGGAACAAACTTGGACATAAGGAACAATTTTTAAGAAGCAGTGAATTTTTAAGAGTCACATATTTGAAGGAAAAGTTATATTCTGATGAAATAGTAATAGAGTACTTGAGTTACAAACCATGATTGTATTATAATCAGAGTTAATTTTATGCCTGACACAATAGATTAAAAACTTAGAGGTAAAAACACAATACCTACCTACATCTATTGCTAATAAAAAAAATGACATTTATGTAGTGCTTGTAGCACTTCTTAAACTGTGGGTCGTGACCCTATATGGGACTGTGAACAATTTGGCAACAGTAAAAGGTTTCCGAACGTGCAATGATCAAAAATTAATTCAAAATCAAATACGTAATGAATTCAAGGTGTTTCTGGCAGCACTTGGCCACGTTGCATTGCGCAACTTCATGGCAGTCTTGGTTCCAAACACAGAGCACTCGCGCTTTGCACTGTGCACGCCCTCATGCCACACGATGCCAGTGCATGCTGCTGAAACACGAAAAGGGGTCATGAATAGAAAAAGTTTAAGAACCTCTGCTTTAAAGAACTACAAGTTTGCAAAATCCTTTACATACATTATTTGAGCCTCACAATTCTATACAGATATTATGTCCATTTTACAGATGAGGTAACTGACATTCGTAGAGGTTAAATTGATTGCTCTTGTTCATATAGTTAATAAGTTCCAGAGACAGGATTTAATTGCAGATCTTCCTGACTCCAAATCCATTACTCCATCTACTAGGCTACACTGTCTCCATGTTGGACCAAAAAGTTCCCCAGGATCTATTATTCTTCCTCTGTACCCCAGGCCCTCACCAACAATCTGTTGTAGGAAAATACAACTCATTTGGTTGTTCAGACATTGTTTTCTAATGATTTGTGGGAGGTGCAGATTCGATCTGAAGGTTAAAGAAGAAATGTGATGCTATAAAATACAGTACAAGGGTAGAGGGACCAAGGTAGGGAGAAATACATTGATTGAAAGACGCCCAACAATATCTGAAGTAATAAAGGAACATGTTTCCTGAAACAAACATGAGCAAGGGATCTAGAAATTCCTTAATGTTAGTTTTTCTACTCTAAATTTCTCTAGGTTGAGAATCTGTATTATGTTTACTTTCTCATGACTTTTTTACTGGAAGTAATAGACAAAGTATGTGGTTTTGCCTTGACCATCATGGAGGAAGAATTGGTTTTCCCTTTCTCAGTAGGGCTAAATCTGTATCCATCTAAAATATCCTAAAGCCTTTATGCCCTGATGATCATAGCTTCAATTTTTATTTAGATTTCTTAATGCTCACTTTTTTTTTTCAAAGATGGTGCCTACTTTCTTTCGGCTTCTAATTCTACTTCTATAGAATTTCCATTATTTGTTTAGAAAATTAGTCATCCTCAGCAATAGCAGTAGCAGCATTGTCAGTGACTTGGGCCCTGTATCAGATGATAAACTGTGATCTTGTGGCATAGAAGGAAGGAGATTTTAAGAGCCCTTCCTATTATTGAAAATGCTGAAGCCATATTAAAATAAATGGGCTTCTAGTGTCCTAGAAGAGTTCATGCTCTGGGCCAAACAACCCAAGAACAGTGTCTTTTTTCTCAAAAATCCTAGTACTGTCCATGTAAATAGTGTTTTGTTTGGTTCTATATCAAGGCTACTTAAAACATTTTTTAAAAGCCTTGAATTATAATTTTCTGTTGCTTTAGTTTTATTCTGTGTGTATGTATTTGTGTTTTCTACAGAACATGACTAACTTATATGGTGCTCAGACATTCTTCCTCTGCCTTGAAGACGACAGTGGTTTATCATTTGGGGTTTTCCTAATGAACAGTAATGCCATGGGTAAGAGGAGCTTTGGGGGCTGTGCAGTAGGCATCCAGCCTGGAAGTTGGGTGTTTATAAGCTGATTCTTTTTGGTGGAATAGAAATTTAGGAAGGACGACATATTAAATCTGAAGGGCTTCTGAAGAGACTGTTTCTTGAACACAGGTCTGTTAGTTACAAAGCTAACTTATGCAAATGGTAGCCTTCTCAATTCTTGTTTACCTGTAGTCTGAAATTTCCCATCATTCAGTAAAGATGCGAGGACCCACGTAGGGCATCCAGGAGGCGCAGTGAATAGAGTGCCGAGTCTAAAGTCAGGAAGATTCATCTTCTGAGTTCAAATCTAGCCTCAGACACTCTAGCTGTGTGACCCTGGGCAAGTCATTTAACCCTGTTTGCCTCAGTTTCCTCACCTGTAAAATGAGTTGGAGAAGGAAATGGTGAACTACTCTAGTATCTTTGCCAAGAAACCTCCAAATAGGGTAATGAAGAGTCAGACACTACTGAGCAACAACAGCTAAGACCTATATCCAGATTTCCCAATCTTTTCATATTCAAATAGATCAATAAAAGTCTGAAAGGGCTTTTTTTTCCCTTTTTTTAGTCCTGCGCCCTTATCCCCTGCAAAGATAACTACTCAGGGTCTGATGTCCTACCGTTTCAAGCAAGTAGGTTGAGCGACTCAATTGGTCAGGGGATCCCTGATCACACTCTCCCCATATATGTGCATATTATATTTTAAGTTACATAGTTTATATAATGTGCTATCCATTATGGTCTCTATCACTTTTTATGTTATATATTATATAATATCTATTATATACACTTATTATATGTAATGTCAAGTACTGAAATAAATCAAACTCATAAGTGGAGGAATAAAGCATCTTTAACTGAGATAACAGGGTAGCTAGCAAACCTGCCACCCTAGGGGATGTCTCCCCAGGAGACTTAGAGGAAAGGTTCTTATGTTTCCAGGAGAAAAGAGGGAGGGGATCATATTAAGTTGCAAGGCCTGGTCATGTGATGCCAGCTGACCTTGGCATTCTGAGCAAGGAAAACCATTTCATTCTAGCTGTTTTGCCCTTCATGCCTTTAATCCCAATGGAAGGGGGTAAGGACCGCAGAAGCCACTTAGGAAGCTGGTCTGGCTCAAGCTGGCTTTGTTTGCAAGGTCCTACGGTAGAGACTTAGGGTGTGGCTCAATTCAACCTAATTGAGAGTAGCTGGAATGCAAGGACTTAACTGGAATCCAGACATCCCTAGGATCATTAAGAGGGAGTGGCAGGTAATATTACATTTAATATTAACATTTTTTCTGTTAGTGATAATCTATATAGCCTATAAAATCTATTAAATAGAGCCTGACATTCATATATGATACTGAGTTTGCACAGCCCACAAAAGAGGCTTAAAAAATTTGGATTATTTCTTTTATTAATACGTTAGAGGGAGAGAACTTGCAAATTTACTGATAAAAGGAATATCTACCTACCTACCTACCTATCTAGCTATCAGAGGAAACTTTGTGGCAAGGTGGATAGAGCTAGACTTGGAGACAGAAAGCAGTGACTTCAAATCCTGCCTCAGACCCTGATTAACATTATTGTCTTGGGCAAGTCACAACCTCCATAAGCCTCCATTTTCTCATAGTAAAACCGAGATAAGATTAGCATCTCCCTCTCCGGGTTGTTGTGGGGATCTAAGGAGATAACATATGTAAAGTGTTTTGCTTACATCAGAGTACTTTCCCTCTAACTTGATAATAACAGGAACTAATCTAAGCCCTGGAAACTTATCTCGGAGGCTGTAGAGACTCAGAATCATTCATTCACTAAAACAAAAAAATAAAACTCACTACGTTAACTCTTGGAGAAAGAAACACATAGTCCCTCCTCTGGAAAAGCTGAAGAGGTTGAGGGAAATAAGAAGTGCATAAATCATTGTAACATAAAATTGACCATTTTATGCAGAGCTCTGTGAGAACTTCAGAGAGAGAACATTTGATAGGGAAAATCAGAAGGCTCCTAGAAAGAGGTGTCATTTGGGATGGGTCCTGAAAGAAAGGCAGAATTAGAAAAAGATGGGGGTTGAGGGTAGGAAGAAATAAAAAGGAAAGCAGGTGATAGTGGAGGCAAGGAAGCATGAAATCAGGGGATTTGTCCTGGGGCAATGAATAGTGCAAATTGTCAGGAGTATAATCTATCTGAAGGAGTGTTGTTAGAGATTAAAGTAGAACTGTTCCTTGGAGTCTGAGTGTGAGGGGTCCATGGACAGCAGTTGAAATTCCCAGGGCAGAGAAGTAACTTGATCAGTTTTGCATTAGAAGATTAACCACCAAGCAAAGGATTAATTAGAGAGGAGGTGGGGGTGGGGAGAGAAACCGGAAGTGGGGATACTAGTTTGGAGGGACTTGTTCAGGCCGTAGGTAATGAACCTTAATGGCTAAAGCCTCTCATGTCCTCTGTATAAAAGAGAAGACATACAGCACATCCCCAAATCGCTGGTTAATCCCCTAACCTTCAGAAGAATCCCATTGTTGTCTGTTCTGCCAAAATCCCACTTCATATTTGTTTTTGAAACTTCAGAGAGTTATATAATGCTTCCATGATCATCCTGGTTCATCTTCTGAGCAGAGGGAGCAAATCACAAATGACAACACAGAATAAAAGAAAGCCAGGACTTTTCTGCCTTGCCCTATCCTTTCTGCTTCCCCCACCTTTGCCTTCCCCCTTGTTTGGGATGCTTGTCTGATCAAAGGGTTCAAATGAGATTGAAACTAACAATTTTAAACCTTCTGAGGAGCAGGAGAACCATCAGGCCTATCCTTTTGCCTTGCAGCTGCCTCCTAAGATCCTCCAGGTTTCACCATCTTCCCTGCTTCCTTGTCCTACAGTCCCCTAGCAAGGGCATCTTAACTCTTGAAGTAATCTAGTTACTTCTGGGCCTTGGCATTCTCTGAACCTTTAGGTCTTAATCTAGGCCCTTCCATCTACCCTTCATCTGAACTTTCTTTTCTCTGTTGTTTACCCCAATTACAGTATGAGTTCCTTACCAGCAGAAACTATCTATCTCAGTGCTTACCACAGTGCTTTGCACACAATGAACATTTAATAAATGCTCATTCATTCATTCATTCATTCATTCATTTACTTTGGCCATGTTTATTCTCTTACATTGGAAACCCCATCCAACTCTCTTATAATTCCATTTAATTTCACTCTATTACTGTAGAATGCTATTTAATCAATTCAACAACCATTTATTAAGAGCCTACTTTGTAGAAGGCACTATACTAGGTACTGGGGATTCAAAGATAGTGATAAAACAATCCCTACCTTCATAGACCTTACATTCTACATTCCCTGATTTCATGGTGGGAGAAGAATGTAGTATCTACTGATAAATACGAGATCATTTGGTTGGGGGAAAGCACTGTCCGCTAGGAGAGACAGATAAGTCTTCACGAAAGCAATAGTTAGGTCTTGAAAGAAAATAAAGATTCTGAAAAGCAGAGATGAGGAAGGAGAACTTTCCAGTCATGGAACTAGCGTGAATGCATCTGGGCAGGAAATGCAATGTCAAGTGTGGGGAACAGCCAATGACTTAGTTTATCTGGAAAGTCAAGTGTGTGAAGGAGAATAATATGAAATAAGGTAGAAAGGTAGATTGGAGCCAGAATGTGGAAATCCTCTAAAGCTAGACTGAAGGAGCCACTAAAGTGTTTTTACCAGGTACATAGTCATACTGGTACCATTGGAAAATTATTTTGGCAATTATAGGGAGTATATTGGAGAAAGGAGAATCAAAATTTCATGAAACCAATGAGAAGATTATTATGATAGCCCATGGTATTATAACAGTTCATTGACACTTTGTTAATCTAGATAACATCAATGATATATTACCACCAATACCTATCTTCAAGTGTCGTAGAGTATTTGCTACTTCTGCAGCAATGAGATTGCCACATGGTACTTCCTAGAGTTTATACCTGTATGGGAAGGCTTATTTCCGTATCTTCATAATATTGAGGTCCTTGAGATCCTTGTCTTTGGCTGAAAACAAAGGCTTGAACTAGGGTGTTGTCAATAGGAATGCCAAGAAGGAAATCAATAGGAGAGACATTGCATTGGTAAAACCAGTGGGACTTGGTGATTTTGCTGATGTGAAAGATGAGGGAGAGGAAAGAATCAGATGACTATAAGGTTTGAATATGGGTGACTGACATTGAGGCAACTTTTTAAGGAATGGAGATAAAAGAGCAGAAGGAAGGCCAGACAAGGAAGACAGCCTTGCAAACTATGAACTGATTTTATTATGTATTTGAAAAGCAAGCTATACATAATGGAGACCTGCAGTTTCACGTATAATACTCTTTCTGTTCTATTGTGTCTATTCAAATGATCATCCTATTTGGTGTTTGTTAAGTTTGGGAAAAATAAAAAGTAACAACAGCAAGAATATAGGTAACTGAGAAAATGGTAGTGACAGGGAAGTCAGGAGGAGAAACGGGAATAAGGATGGCTTCTATTTTGACTGTGTTGAGTTTAAGGAATAGGAAAGACATCTAATTACATATCTCTGGTAGGTAACTAGAAATGTTATTACAATGTTTCAAAGATAAGGTATGGAGAATCACCTTCAATGAAGTCATAATTAAATTCAGAGGAGAGAATTAGGTAGAGAAATGAGATAGTATAGAAGGGAGAGGACTTAATTTTGAGGAAAATACGGGCATTTAAGGAAGCTGGAGGCTAAAGAGGAAGACAAAAGGAGAGCTCAGAGATAGAGGAATCAAGATAAACAGTAAATAAAGTATCATGGAAACCTGGAGTTAAGAGATTATGAAGAAGGAGATGGTGATTAACAGTGTAGTAAGCAGCAGAGAGGTCCAGGAGGATGAGGACTGAGTAAAAGCCATTAAATTGGGCAATTTGGAAATCAGTGGTGACCTTTGAGAGAGGTTTTATTTAGAGGTAGAAAAGCAATGGGGAAGTGACTTTAGACTATTCTTTTAAGAAGTAAAGAAATGTAACAGTGTAAAGACAAAGATAGGAGAGCAGTACAAGGTACAGTAGTATTAAGGATCACATGTAGTGGGGATAGGGGGCAGGTGTGTTAGGATAAAGAAGAATTCAGCACATTCATAGGTAGAAAGAGAAACCAGAGGGGAGAGTGAAAGTGATCCTGAGAGTTTGAAGGGGAAGGAGGGAGGGAAGGAGAAAGGAAAGGAAAAAGAGAGAGAGACAGACAGACAGACAGACAGACAAAGAGAGAGAGAGAGACAAAGACAGAGACAGAGAGAATGGGATTGAAGGGGCAAAGGTGAAGGAATTTAATGCTGATAATGTTTAACAGCTGACTGCATGACATTTTAAAATTTAATTTACATTAGCATTTTCTCCAATACTTTTCTTAAATTTAGATAATAAATGAAACAATAAATCAATCCTTGTTCTTGATTTCTGGGGTGTAAATGCTTACGATGAATTTAACAGTCTGTCACAAGAAGGAGGTCACCTCGTCCTCTGAGATTAGTTTGGAGGTGTGGAGGATAGGAGTTGAAGTCTCCTCCATGGCAAACTTCTCCCTAAAGTATTAGGTAAAATCATCAGCTGAGAGTTGAAAGGTCAGGCAGTAGATTGGGGAAAACCAGGGAACTCAAGTTTGAGGCCAATGGCCCAAGTTAATCAAAAGAAGTACTATTTCTTAATCTTAACTTTTTTGCTTCATGTTTGGTTCCACTTTGATAAATGTCAGAGTTCCTCTTACTAAGGGAATATGTGTAATTCGCATCCTTAGGGATCTTTTACTATAATACTGCAATTATTTGTCTTGGGGGATTGTGGTATTTCCTTGCTTAAAGACAATGAAGGGCTGAGATGATCTTTTAATTTCCATGATGTGTGGTCTCATTTTGATTCCTGCAGAGGTTGCCCTTCAGCCTGCTCCTGCAATCACTTACCGTATAACTGGTGGCATTCTTGACTTCTATGTGTTCTTGGGAAATAATCCAGAACAAGTTGTTCAGGAATACCTGGAGGTAAGTCTCCATTCAATTAGTGGTTATTTGTGATTGCTATTTGATAAATCATTTGCTTTTTACCACGAGGAGAACAAAAAAAAAAATGATGTATATATTTTGGTTTGTAAGCCTCCAGGAATTTGTTTGAGATCACTCACCTACATCAGGCCAGGAGTTCTTGAGATTTAAGGACTTCGGGAATTACATCTCAGTAAAGTTCATTTGTTCATCCATTCAATTATATTCATCTATCTATTGATACGCAAACTCATATCATAAATAAAATAGAACAGCGAGGAAAGAAATAATTTTTGAAACTATGGAGAGGGGACAAGTTCATGACCAAACAGTGGATATAGGAATTCCAAAAGACAAAATGAATAATTTTAATAATATAAAACTGAAAAAGTTTTTGCAAAAACAAAATCAATGCAGTTAAAATCAGAAGGGAAATGAATAACGTGTGGGGAGTGGATTTTTGCAGTAAGTTTCTCTTATAAAGATTCCATTTCCAAGATATATAGGGGATTGACTCTAATAAATAAGAACAAGAACCATTCCCCAATAGAAAACTGGTAAAAAGATAAGAAAGGGCAATTTTCAAAGGAGGAAATTCTAGCTATCAACAGCATATGAAAGAATGCTCCAAATCACTAATAATAAGAGAGATGCAAATTTAACAACTCTGAGGTTCCACCTTACATTTTTCAGATTTGAAAAGATGGCATAAAATAGGAAAATGACAATTTTTGGAGACCCTAAGGAAAAAAGCACCCTAATACACTATTGGTGGAGTTGTGAACTAGTCCAGCTATTATGGATATCAATTTGGAACTATGCCCCTGGAAATCACTAAACTGTGCATACCCTTTGAAATGGTGATACCATTACCAGGCTTATATTCTAAAGGAATTAAAAAAGAGAGAATATAACCGTATTAATAGCACCTGTCTCCCAGGGTTGTTGTGAGGATCAGATGAGGTAATAATTGAAGTATAATTGTAATTAGCTTAATGCCTAGATCACAGTGAGTGCTGTATAATGTTAGCTATTATAGCTATGGGGGCATCTAGGTGGCTCAGTGGATAGCATTCTGGCCCTGTAGTCAGGAGGATCTGAACTCAAATCTGACCTCAGACAATTATTAGCTATATGACCCTAGGCACTTAACTCTAAGTTCCTCATCTGTAAAGTGAGCTGGCGGAGGAAATGACAAACCACTCCATATCTTTGCCAAGAAAACCCCAAATGAAGTTACAGAGAGTTGGACCTCATTGAAAAGACTAAACAACAGGGGCAGCTAGGTGGTGCAGTGGATGGAGCACCAGCCCTGAAGTCAGGAGGACCTGAGTTCAAATCCAGCCTCAGACCAACTTGACGCCTACTAGCTGTGTGACCCTGGGCAAGTCACTTAACCCCAACTGCCTGAAAAATAGAAAAAAAATTTAAAAAAAGACTAAATAACAAAAATTTTAGCTATTATTACATGTCCAAAAATGTTTATAGCCACTCTATTTATTTTAGCAAAGAACTAGAAATGAAGGGAGTGCCCATCCATTGGGTAATAACTCAATCAAATATGGTATATGAATGTAATGGAATATTGTTATACCATACACAATAGTGAAAGGTGTGGAGTAACCTGAGAAACCTTGTATGAACTGCTGTAGAGTGAAGAGAGACCAATTTATGATAAAAACAGTATCGTAAGGACTAACAACTTTGGAAGACTTTAAAACTAATCAATGCAAAGGCCAATCATAACTTAGAAAGACCTTAAATCCATCAAGGTGCAGAAGGAGATGTACATTTTCAGACACAGCCAATGTGGGAATTTGTTTTGTTCAACTATGCGTATTTGTTAAACTTTTTTTTTAAATTTGGATTTGAGGAGCTATGAAGAGGAGGGAGATTAGTGATATCAGTTTCTCCCCAAAGGAAAAAAAATGGGGGAAAAAAAGAGAGTCATTTATGCATCATGAAATGCATAGAAGAAGACAGAAAGAATGCTGGAAGGAAACATAAAAAAGCAGGGCAGCATTGAAAGTTATATGTTAAATTTATTATGTATTGTAATATGTATAACTATACATTTAATATAATATTACTCATTGTTATTTACTAAATACGGTATCATATAATTAAGAGAAAAGCAAGCTGTATGTAATACAGATTTGTAGTTTCTTGCACAATCTTCTTTTTCTGTTCCTTGTATATGGAAATGCTAATTTTATTTGATGTTTGCATTGAATACCTACTAGGTGCAAGGGGTTCTGGTGGCTGTGGAGAATTCCCAAATGATAAAATAGAGAAAACAATGGATTGAGTCAAAGAAATTTCTGCCCTAGGGTCCATCAGTTACTATGCTGGGTTCATATTCAATTCAATAAAAATTATTAAGCTCCTACTATGTGTCAGGCTGTGTGCTATGTGCTAGTGATACGAAAAGAGGCAAAAGACAGTCCTTGTCTTCAAGGAGCTTACAATCCAATGGGGGAGAGACACAACATGTAAACAAATATATACAAAGCAAACTTTCTCTCTCTCTTACTCTCTCTCTCTCTCTCTCATATATATATCTATATATCTATATATCTATATATACACATATATGCACTATATACATATACATATATACATATATAAAACTAATGGGTGACCTTTGACAATTCACTTAACCCTTTTGAGCCTCTTTTTTTTAGTAAAATCTGTAAAATGGAGATAATGATATTTGCCCTGCCTGCCTTGGGGCATGGTTTTATCAAATGAGATGTATAGTAACTAAAAGTGCTTATACAAATATAAATTAAATATGGTAAATAGCATATGAAATAGTGGGGGAGGTAAGATATACACAAATAACTGCCATAAATAAGCGATTTATGACAAGTACAATAACAAAGGTATAAATTCTATAGGAATTTAGGGGAGTGCTAGCTCATAGTAGGTGCTTAATAAATTCTCAGTGATTGATATCATTATCAGCATGCTGGAGAGAATTACATCCTTAGGAGAGAGCATATAGGTCAGAAACTTGTTAGAGACTAGCATTTTTATTCAACTGAGCACTTTCTAGAATTTTGCCTGACCAAATTTGGATCACCTTCTCCCTATGTTCTAGCCAAACTATACTACTCACTATTACCCTCAATGCTATTGGTTATATTTTCCCTTAGCCTGTGAATTCACTTCCTTTGCAACATCCCCCCACCACCTATCCTCTCACTACCTGCTAAATTTCTCCCTATCCTTTAAAACTTGTTTCAAATGTCAGGAGGCCTTGAATAATTTCCTCCTTGCATAATCAATAATGACCTTGTGCCTCACCTAGCACATTTGTTTCTCTCTTAGCACGTCATGTGTTTTCTCTTTGTATTATAATTACGCATAATTTGTATATGTGTCACAGTCCCTAAGTTTCACTGGGGCAAGAACTACTTATTTCTTATCTAATTGTTTGCATGCCTTCCCACACGTAGAATAGTGTTCTACTTAAAGTAAATGATTAATAAATGTTTATTGAATAAGCAGTTATTGCTTCTCAAACTATGTGAACTTGAGGTTGCTATGTGATCTCAATGTTTTCTGTACATTTCCATTACTTCCCCCCCACTTAGGCAATTGGGGTTAAGTGACTTGCCCAGGGTCACACAGCTATTAAGTGTCAAGTGTTTGGTCTGAGGCCAGATTTGAACTCAGGTCCTCCTGACTTCAAGGTCAGTGCTCTATCCACTGCGCCACCAAGCTGCCCCATTTCCATTACTTTTTAATAATTGCTATTGAAGGACTACATAGCTGCAAAGTAAAGACTGATGAAGAACATAGCATTTCATGGAGAAACCTTTACAACCCTGAAGGCATTGAGTACTTGGTGGTTTTTATAGTGAAATGGCGATAATGTTTCCAATATGGGATAAGCTGATGTCAAACATTGGTTTTCTAAATGCTAGGTCCTTCTCTATTTCTTTCAGCTCATTGGACGACCTTTCTTGCCCCCATACTGGAGTCTTGGTTTCCAGCTCAGTCGTAGGGATTATGGAGGCATTGAAGGACTGGCATCTGTTGTCACCCGAACACGTGCTGTTAGGATACCTTATGTAAGTGGGAACTCTGCCCCTCTCAGCCCCTAACCATGAGGCTTGACTTCCCAATGACTCCAGAGCCCAGTTGACACCAGAAAGAGCTCTCCAGACCTTGCCATGTTATGTCTGCACATCAGAAATCTTTCTGCACATATTTTGCTTTGGAGAACTCACCTGTTGTGTAGAGTCAGTAGGAGCTACTCAGGCTAGCACTTGTTAAAAAGGGAATGGTCATAGCAATGTTACCCTAGATGTTCAACAATGGAGTAAAGCAGGATGTTAAAAGGCCTCAAGGTTATACCCTGTGTGGGTCAGTTGAAAAAAAACAAATAAACAAACAAACAACAAAACAGGGCATGTTCATCCCAGAGAAAAGAAGACTGAGGTGGGGATATGAGTCTTCACATATTTAAAGGGCTATGTGGATCACTGTGGAAGATGAAATTTTCTTGTTCAGAACAAGGAACAATGGGTATAAATTTCATAGAAAGACAGATTTGCGCTTATTATAAGGAAACCCTTCTTGGTGATTAGAGCTACGTAAGAGTGGTATGGACTTTCCAGGGAATCCCTATTCTTAGAGGCATTTAAGCAAAGACGGAACAACAGCTTGCCAGGTGGATTGCAGAAAGGGAACTCATTCAGGTATGGGTTGGGCTAGCTGGCTGTTGGAGTCTCTTCCCTCTCAGATTTTCTGAAAAGACTTGAAACACGCATACACAGAATAGTTACAGTTGGTCTTCCTGGATTCTGGTCAGCCTCTGCCTCCAACCCCAAGTGAACTTTGCCTTGAAATGCTCTAGTATTGCTTAATGTTTACCATGGCCAACGTCCAGGTGTAAATGAAAAAACAAGAAGTAATTGGTTTGCATCTGATAAACATTTTCTGGAAGAGAATCAAGGGAACGGTCTGAAAAGCAAGACATGTACCGACATATACTTGTTTAAAATCAGTGGGAAAATATTAACAAAGGAGATAGCTTTGGCCTTTAGTATATAGTAAGAGTTTTATCAGCTGAGAGTCAGTGAGGGAAGGCAGTCCGGTGGATTTCCCCCCCATTTGGGGAGTACAAATATCCGTCTGTGTTGCACTCCGGGTGTGGGATTATCTTTAACTCCCTCATTGTACAGATGATGACATCGAATCAGGGTGGTGAAATGACTTGCCTAGGGTCACACAGTGACAGAGGCAGGGTTTGAATCCATGTCTTCCGGACCTCTTTCGAATACACCATGCTACTTCTCTCCCAGTTCTCCATGATCCTAGAAAAAGCCAGGTTTCCTTCTAAGGAAGGAAAACGTCTCTCCTGAGGTGTGAGTGTAATAGTAGGCAAGTCTTAATTTCTTTCAGCCTAACAAGCTACTGAGTGCATAGGGCAAGGCAAGTCCCTGTAGAAGCTACTAAGCATTGCTCTCTATACGTTGGCAGCTATTTGGGACGGCTGAATTATCATTCGATTCCCTCCTAGTCTATATTGGGCTTAATACTTCTGAGGCTGAGGTACCAACTCCCTGGTACTAAGTGGGAAGTTAAAGGTTAGGTTAGATATGATGCAAATGCTCCGCATGTATGTATCAAGGAAAGTATACTTGTTGTTCTGTAGTGTCTGACTCTTCATGAACCCAACCCCAAGGGGTTTTCTCGGCAAAATTACTGGAGTGGTTTACCACTTACTGCTCAAGTGTGTCCCCATTTTGCAGTTGAGGAATTGAGGCAAATAGGGGTTAATGACTTGCCCAGTGTCACAGAGCTACTAAGTGTCTGAGGTCAGATTTGAACTCAGTTCTGAGCCTAGTTCTTGGAATAATGGCTCTAATACCACTACAGATACCTACTAGGTGTGTGATCCTGGGCAGATCACTTATCTTCTCAGTTTTCTCATCTGTAAAATGGAAGGGCTAGACTTGTTGATTTCCAAGGTCCTTTCAAGCTCTAACTCCATCATTGTGTGATCTTTTAAGCTTGAGAGAGAGTAACTGTTGGTAACTGAGGTCCTGGGAAAAGCAGGGCAATTCAAGACGTTGTCTTCAGTGTTACTGATCTCAGTCAATGTTGCCCATTGGCTCAATGGCGTTGTTCATGAAGTTGTGATTATGTTTCCAGGATGTCCAATACTCTGACATAGACTACATGGAGGAGAAGAAGGACTTTACTTATGACAAAGAAAATTTTAATGGCCTTGACCAGTTTGCTGAAGAGTTGCATAGAAATGGGCAGAGATATATCATTATCCTGGTATGGACACATATTTTTCCTGCTATTCCTTCCAAAGCTTGGAAGGGCCTCTCAGTCATAATTGCATTTCTGTGTTTATTAGAATCCTGGCATTTCCAAAAACCTTACCTATGGTCCCTATGAGAGGGGAAGCAGAAAGAGAGTCTGGGTTTCTGGACCCACTGGGCCCATCGTTGGGGAGGTAAGAAACTGCTGTGGAAAACGAGTGAATTACCATGATGCTGGCTCGGAGTTCAGGCTTTGGAGGGGAGGGAAGGTAGTCATAGTCTAGTTGTTGTACGCAAAATTCTTAATTATTTTATCAGTAAATACTTCTATACTATGAAAATCCATGGCTCCATGTGGGCTGGACTAGGTGCTGTTCTGCTTCCAGGGAAATGGGATAGAGGATCTCTCTAAGTTATTTTGGTTTTAGGATTTTCTCTTCCTGAGAAGGAAGTCACTGAGAAAGACAAAAAAAGAACTATCACACAGATCACACCACTTGTCTATACTTTCTTAGCAAATGATGCCCTTGTCTGTGCTATGCCATGAATCCTCCACAGATGATGTACCCATTTTATTGAAGGCTTTCTTGGTCTATAAGTATTTTGGGGATTTCACGTGAAGGTGCCCTTTTCTTTTTCCTCACTGATTGGCCAAGCCCTTTTCTGGTCATATATCTTCTTATTAATATATTTTGTCACTTCTTTATACCCAACTCATCATTGGCAATATGACATAAACAGAAAAAAAAAATTCAAATAAAAACACTGGGGCACTTTTCAGTATGTTAGACTGATTTTTTTAAAAGCCAAGTGACCTGAAAAAGTTAAGTGTTTGCTCGATTTGGAACGATTTTATATTCCCAAGGAAGAAAAACATCATATTGCTTTATGTGTATTTGAAAGATTGTGAGGTTACCATATTCAGTGATTACTTTTTCTTTTTTATGTCATTCAGTTCCCATTCCTCCATTTTGTTTAACTATTGACAGTCTAAAGTAAGAGTTCTTAAGCTTTTTTTGAGTGTCATGACTCCCTTTGGAAGTCTGATGAATCCTATGGTTCCCTTCTCAGACTAATACTCTTAAATGTATGAAATAAAATACATACGATTACAAAGAAAATCAATTATGTTAAAATAGTTATCAAAATATTGGGGGAAAATAATTTCACAGACCCCAGGGTCTTAAGAATCTCTGTTCTAAAGTCAATCTTCTATGCTTGGATCTCTGTGGAAAAGAGACAATTAATTCACACTTGGAACAAATCACTGAACTAGCTGCCATACTGATGATCATTTATATCTTCCTTGTTCTCTAGGTGTGGCCAGGACCTGCTGTTTTCCCTGATTACACTAACCCACAGGGCACTCAATGGTGGGTTGAAGAGTTGGTGCAGTTTCATAAAGAACTGAATTTTGATGGAATCTGGATTGTGAGTCAACTTACTAGTGTCTAAGCTCTTTTTGGAATGGAATAATATTTTGAACTTTGAGAAGCATCTAGGTTTCTTTTTGGTGATGATGTTGTTATCACTTAACAGAGTGATTAATGAGTTGTGTAGTTACTTAAAGCTGAGCTCAGTTGCAACCAATTTTTGAAGAATGCCTCAGAAACTGAATTCAAATGATACCTCTGGACTAATTCTTTGGGTGATCTTAGGTGTGTTGCTTTACTCCTCTGGGCCTCTGTTTTCTTACATGCAAAGTAAGGGGGCTGGATGTTCTGAGATGATCTGAAATATCCCCTTCAGCTCTACCAGTCTATGATTCACAGCTACGGTACTGGTAACTTGTGGCCCTTAAAGTAACATCAAAATGTTCTTTGCAAATGACTAAAACCAAGAAAAGGTGACTCAGTGAGTGTATGAGGTTCACTTCCTAGGAGAGGATTAAAATTTTAAAGACACATGTCCACATGGGCTGGGCTAGGTGCTGTTCTACTTCCAGAGAAATGGGAAATAGGATCTCTTTAAGTTACTTTGAGGCCAATGGTTTAGAATTTTTTCTTCCTGAGCAGGAAGTCATTGAATGAAGGGAAAAAATAAATTGTTGTCAGCTAGTCAGTGTCTGAAGCTAAATTTGAAGTCATGAAGATCATTCTTTCTGACTTCAGGCCCAGTACTCTATCCGCTGTGCCACCTAGCTGCCCCCCTTAAAAATGCTCTAGACAAAACTAATGCAGCTATGATATGATCTTCAGCGTTTCTCAAAGTATATTATAGAAAAAATTAACTCATTAATAAAGTAGATTTGAAATGGTAGATTGTGAAGAGATATTAGTGATATTCTAGTCCAACCCCCCACATTTTGCAGATGGCGAAACTAAGGCACAGGTATGTCAAGTGACTTATATAAGGCCATGTATCTAGTTTGCAGCTAAACCAGGTTACTTGCCTTCATTCAGTAAGTCAGCATAGCTTAACCTAGAAAGTTTCTCAAGTTTTGTTTTTAAAATGCATTTTATAAATAAACAACACCCATGGTGCCCCGTTTAAGATCTCTGCAGAAAAGTGGCTACAGGAGTTTTATAATAACTAAAACAAAAAAGCCTTCAACAAAGTCTTTCAACTCTTAGATTAATGATCTTTATACTACACTGAATTTCCATTAAAAATCTTTCTCCTTTCTGTTTTGTGTCCCTGAAGGATATGAATGAAGTATCCAATTTTTTAAATAATGACTCACTGTGTGAACCCAACTATTTGAATTACCCATCATTCATTCCCAGTAAGTGCTACCATGACTGCTGTCAACGTGAAAAATGTCGAAAGAAAAGAAACATTGGAAGGTTCAGTATGATGGAGTTTGAGCACAATGTTCCACTGAGGAGCAGGGCTTTCCTTACGGAGGCAGAAGACAGCTCAGGATAGGTTCTCCTTCCTTTCACTGGGTCTCTTGTTATTTTTTTCCCTGCCAGACCTGTCTATATGCCTATAAGCTTCTGGTCAAAACTTAATTTGAGTAATCACCTTCCTCAACAGTTTAGCTCATGTATCCCAGGGCTTTGCTTCTAGGATCCTTATTATTTAAAAATAATATATAAAAACAAATGTGTGTATGTATGCATATACATATACACATGTATGTGTACACACATATACACATGCATACATATACATGTGTGTAAACACACACCACACACACACACACACACACACACACACACACACACACACACATTCTCCTATCTCCTCTCTTTTGACTTGGACTATAGCTTTTCTCAGCAGGCTACTAGCCAGCTCCTTCTAGACCAGGGCTTTTTAAACTTTTTCTAAGGTCACGACGCCATGTGGGGTCAAATCTAGACAAATGTATCTTGTTCTGTTTCTGGATCCATTTCTTAATGAAAACTATTATGTTTTTTTCTTTTTTCTTGATTTTTGTTCTGAATTTGAACACTAAAAAAAAGAGCATTTTCATACATGTAATAGAACACATAAAGATGATTTTACTGTCTATGAAAATGTGAATGTGCAATTTATACTGCATATAATATGTAAGTATATACTGTTTTCAAACTTTACTTTCAAAACTGTTTTACTAGTCTGTGCTTCCTTTCTGAATTTCTTCCTGTTTTCTTCTGTACATTAAAAAAAATTACATTGGTTCATAATTTTTTTTTTGTTTGGCATCACTAGTGCCAACCCCACCGATACATTGGCTGATACTTTGCCAACAGTGAACTTGGTTCAAAAGCAAGCAAAGTAGATGTTGGAAGAGAGTTGATGTAGGAAGAATATGTCCTGGAAGTTAAATTATTGGCATCTTCCCCTACAGGAATCTTGGATAGACGACTGTTTGCACGGACCCTCTGCATGGATGCAGAGCAGCACTGGGGCCTGCACTATGATGTCCATAATTTATATGGCTACTCTATGACAATTGCAACAGCAAAGTAAGAACTGCATTTTTTATCCCCCTGCATCCTCATTTGAAAAAAGACACTTTTATTTTCTTTTTAAAAAATTAATTTTTAGGAGGCAGCTAGATGGATGGAGCATCGACCCTGGATTCAGGAGGACCTGAGTTCATATCTGGCCTCAGACACTTGACCCTTGCTAGCTGTGTGACCCTGGGCAAGTCACTTCACCCAACTGCCTTGCCAAGAAAAAAAATTATCTTGACCTTAACAAACACTAAAAAATACCTTTCCATATACAAAGTAGAATACTTAAAGAATTACACATGAAACTACAAATCTCTATTTTATACTACTTTCTTTAAAAAAAAAACTTTTTATAAGAAATTCAACATGTTACTTTCAAAACAATCCAACTTTTTTTTAAAAAAAAACTTTCTTCTGTTCTCTGTATTTTAAAATAAGGTATTTTATTGGCCCTTTTCTTTCTTAATTTTCTTCTTTTTCTCCTCTTTTGCTAATACTATTATTACCTCCTCCTCCAAACTAGCCCCCCATTTAAAAATGGAAGATAATAAAAAGTCCTCATCATAAAAGTTCCTATGAATAAGTATGGTAAAGCAGAAAAAATTCACACAATGGCCATGTGCAAAAATGTACTTCTCCCTCTGTGTATCTTTTCTCTATTAGGAAATGGCTAAAACGCTTCATCATAGGCCTTCTGGAGACACGGTTGGCCATTGCTTTTATCAGACTTCTTAAGTTTTCAAATTCATCATTCTCCTGGTTCTGCTCACTTCTGTTTGCATCATTTCATACTACTCACTATTCTCTGAAAGCATCTCTTTTGTAACTTTTTATGGAGCCATAATATTGTATAACACCTGTACACCACAATTTGTTCAGTTATTTCCCAATTTATGAGTATCCCCTCAGTTTCCAGTTCTTTGGTTTTTCTTTCTTTCTTTTTTTCTTTTACTCCCCTTCAAGTTCAAGAAGTTCCTTTTACTTGCGAATTATTAGATACATTCCTCTCCAGTAATATCCTCCTTCTTAGTCCCTCTCTCTTTATCCTTCCCTATTACTCTGTTGAGTTTGGTATATTTTTACAATAAACTCTTTGTGTATATGTGGGTTCATGTTTGTGTTCAACCCTTCTTTATCTGTTTAAGATAAGAGTGATTCATATTTCCTCCCCACCCCTTCCTCCAAAGTTGTATACTCAATGCACTTATGTGAATCCTCATGCTTTCTACAATAGTATATTCCTTTCATAATCCCTTTTCTTTCCCCTCTTAAAAACTCTTGGAATAGAACCAAACTACCTCCATGTCTCTGTTTTTCTTCATTAACTCCTTTAATAGCCTTGGAAGACATTAAGGTTCTGAAGAAATATAAGTTTCTTTCCCCTCTATTAGAATGTTAGTATTTCATACGCATACAGCCCTTTCCAATTGATCAAATACATTTATCTCTCTGAATTTCTTTTGATTATTGTGTTTGCATTTCAAAGTTCTTACTCATTTTGGGTCTTTTCATCTGGTGTGCTTGAAAATCCTTTATTTCATTAAGGTTTTATTTTTACCCTGTAGGATTTTACTCAGCTTGTCAAGGTAAATTATTCTTGATTATAAGCCTGTATCTTTTGTCTTTTGGAACATTATATTTCAAGATCTCCTGTGGTTTCTAAGTAGAAACTGCCAAGTTTTCAGTCCTCTTGCTACTTGAACGTCTTCTTTCTGAATGGTCTGTGTTATTTTTTTGGGACCTGAAAACTCTAGATTTTCACTATGATTTTCTTAGGGACTTTCCTTCTGAGGTTTCTTTCAGGAGGTATTTAGTAGATCCTTTATCTTTTCACTTTGCCCTGTTGTTTTGTCTGTGTAATTTTTTTCATGATTTCTAGAACTATGATATCCCAGTTCTTTTGTTGGTTATGGCTTTCAGGTAGTACAATAATTCTTAAATTAGCTCTCCTTGGCCTGTTTTCCATATAAATTTTTTTTTAAACATTTCAGATAAGATACATTTTCTTCCATTTTTTCAATTTTTAAACATATCGTTTTATTATTTCTTGTTACCTTGGGCAGTCATTGATATCTGTTTGAACTATTTTAATTATCAGGGAGTCTATTACTTGGATAAATTTTATCACCGTCTGCTCTAAACTATTCATTCTTCTTCCAATTGTTTCCTCTAGCGCTTTTATTTCATTTTTATCTCTTACTTTACTTTTCTAGGTATTCATGCATTCCTTGTGGAATTTTTTTTCTTTGACTCTCTGCTAGCAGTTGTTATGGAATCATTCTCTCCTCCTAAGTTGGATTTTTAAAATTTTCTCTACATCTATTATATTGCTTTATAATTGTCTGCATCTTGTGTTTACTCATTTCCAGTCTTAATTCTGGAAATGGGGCTTTGTCTCAGGACTCTGAAGCCCTGGTCTTAGAGTGTCGTGGTATGAATAGTGACATTAATACTTCTAATAGCTTTGTAAGGTCTTCACTTGGGTTTCAAGTCACTATGAGACTTTTTCATGGGAACTGTCTGTTCATGCTGTCCTCTGGAAACTGAGCCTTACAGTTACATGTGTCTCTGGCATTTGTCTGATTACATTGAAAGGTTATATCATCTTGTTAGCCTGCCATAGTGCTGACTTTTCTAGTGATCCTCTTTCTAATTACCTTTGGACTTATGGTTGACTTCATTCAAAGTTTTGGGATAATATCTCTCGTTTTCTTGATCATTAGGTGAAGCATCTAGGGAGCACAATAGGTTAAACGCTAGACTTAAAGTTTAAGTCCTGACAATCACTAGCTGTGTGACCTTGGTCAAATCACTTAAATTATTGGTAAAATAGGTGTGACAACAACACTTCACAGGGTTGTTGTGAGGATCAAATGAGACAACTTATGTAAAGCATTTTGCAAAGTTCAAAGTACTGCATAAATGCTAGCTATTATTATTATAAATAGTTGGTCTGGTAGAATGTTTTCAATCAAAATACTTTTATTAAGTATTCACAATTGGCCAGGCATTGTGCTAAGCACATGGGGATTGTGTTATATATTGATAGCTCCTCCAACGTTGACTCCTCCTATATCTGTCATCTTTGCCAATTTGCTTTATGTGAGGTAAAACCTTAAGGTTGTTCTGATTTGTATATCTAATATTAATAGTAATTTGCATTAATTTGGGGATACAAAGAAGAGCAAATAGATTCTGTCCTAAAGAATCATAAGATCTTTTTTTAAAAACAGTTTTTTAAAATATTTTCATTTTGACATTGACCAAATTTAATTCTTTATCCCTTCCTTTCATCCCCCCAAAGAACTAGACTGTATAACAAAATTTTATTTTTTTTAAAGAGAAAGAGAAGAAGGGGAAAAACAGGAAAAAACTAATCAATATATTGGAAAAATCAAACACTATATGCAAGGTTCCATACCTATGGACACCTCTGCAAAGAAGTATGTGTGTGTTCTGTGTGTGTGTGTGTGTGTGTTGGGGGAGCAGGTTAGGGATAGTACTTTTTTTTTTTAATCTTTCCTTGTGGGCTAATCTTGTTCTTTCTAATTTTACAGCATTCCTTCTCAGTGTTTTGTGGTGGTTTTTCTTTTAATTTACATCACTGTTAGTCGTTGTATAGATTGTTTTCTTGGCTGTAACTTATTTTTTTGTATCAGTTTATGAAAGTTTTCCCATGCTTCACTGTATCCATCACATTTATTGTTTAGTAAGAAGTACTTACCACAGTTTGTTTAGCCACTCCCAAATTCATTCTAGTTCTTTCTTCATTCTACTTCTTTACTACCACACACACACACACACACACAATACTGCTATACTTTCTTTTTTTCACTCAATGACTACCTTGGGGTACATACCTAGCAGCAGAATCTTTGGATCAAAGGATTTGGTTAGTTTTGTCTTGCGTAATTCCAAATTGCTTTCCAAAATAGTTCTTCTAATTCATAGCTCCACCAACAATGCATTCGTGTGCCTGTCTGTTGACAATTTCTCCAGTCGTGACTATTCCTAATTTTGTCATCTTTGCCAGTGTTCTGGCTATGAAATAAAGCCTCAAGCTTGTTTTGATTTTTATTTCAATTGTTATAAATGATTTGCAGTATTCTTTTATATGGTTGTTAATAGTTTGCAATTATTTTCAAAACTGTTTATATCCTCTGATCATATATTTTGGTCTTATATATTTCTATTAGTTTTCTATATGTCTTGGATATCATATTCTAATCTGAGAAATTTCATACAAAATTTCCCCACCATTTAACTACTTTTCTTCATATTCTGTATGAATTAAATTTGCTTATGCAGAAGCTTTTCAGTTTAATGTAATCAAAATAATATGTTTTATCTTTTGTAACTGCCTTTACCCCTTGTTTGGTTAAGAATATATCTCCTACTCCTAGCTTTGAAAGGTATGTGATCTGCTTATGGCCTATTTGTTATACTGTGGTCTTTAATATTGAGGTTGTATATCTATTTTGAATTTATTGTAGAATATCGTCTAAGATCTTAGTGTAAGCCTAATTTTTGCTGTTGTGGTTGTTGTTGTTCAGTTTCAGTCAGTGTCTAACTTTTCACGACCCCATTTCGGGTTTTCTTGGCAAAGATACTGGAGTGGTTTGCTATTTCCTTCTCCAACTCATTTTATAGATGAGGAAACTGAGGTAAATTGGGTTAAGTGACTTACTCCAGCTTACAGAGCTAGTAAGTGTCTGAGGCTTGATTTGAACTCAGGTCTTCCTGACTCCCAGCCTCACCTTTGATCCATTGCACCACCTAGTTGCCCCACCTCTGATACTTACACTAGGATAAATGTGGACATATTTACTATCACAGTCTCATATACTTATTCTAGGGAAACAGACATCCCTCTAACTCCTTCCCATTCTGGGAAGCTTTCTTCAGACTTGTTGTTGGAGAGTGCAAGACACAGAGGACCTTTGACACCTCCCACCAACAGTAAGAGAATTCTGATTTCACAGCTCTTCAGTAACCCAGATGTCTTTCCTTTCCAGAGCCATGGAGAGCATTTTTCCTAAAAAGAGAAGCTTCGTCCTGACCCGATCAACCTTTGCTGGGTCAGGCAAATTTGCAGCTCATTGGCTAGGGGATAATGATGCTACTTGGAATGACCTCCAATGGTCCATCCCCAGTATTCTTGAGTTCAACCTTTTCGGTATCCCCATGGTAAGGTCTAATTTCCTACTAGGAAAAAAAAAAAACCTTCCTAGAGGGAGAGTCTTTCTGTCTCTTAACACCTGTGCTTGATGACTCTGGGAGCACCTGACACCTAAAAGCAAATGACCCATTAGAAATTTTGTCTTGATGGAGAAAAAAATCACATCCTCCTGCTCGGTTACCTGTTAAAGGTAGAATAGTAAATCTAGAGCCTAGGTTGCTCTTCTTTATAGCTCTGGAAAAGGAAAGAGGCTGCAGGAGTAAGATGTATTAATATTCAAAAATCCCCATGAGGAAGGAAGAGAAGGGGGCAGGGAGGCATTAGGGATTGAAGTTGAAAACGAGGTTTTTTATAGAAGAATGATCTCCATTCCATTATTAATCCTTTCTATCCTGTTTTATAGTTCTTTACTTTTGTTTATGCATTATTTCCTGTACCATCACAGCATGGAAGAGTGAATAGAACACTGATCGGGGAGCCAGGAAGTCACTTGACATAAACTGATTGTGTGAATTAAGGCCAGTCACTTAATCTCTCAGTGCTTTGAACAACTCTCTAAGACTGTGTGTTGCAGTCAAATCACAGCCCTGCATTGGTAGAGGTAGTTACCTCACCTAAGAGTTCCCTAGGTAAATGACATCACAGGTCCAGTCCATGTTCTGATTGCTTCTTAAGTAGGTCAGTCTTTATGCTTGTAATCTCCATGTATCCCATCTCTTGTCATCAGCCAAAGAGCTTTCAAAAAATGGGGAAGTTGTTATCTTCTTCCTGAAATTGTCCCTATACTGGGGACACAGCCAGAGGCTGGGTGTTTGTGCTTTTTTCCAGGTGGGTGCGAACATTTGTGGCTTTGCCTCCAATACCTCAGAGGAGCTGTGTAGGCGTTGGATGCAGTTGGGAGCCTTCTATCCATTGTCCAGAAATCACAATGGCCCAGGTTTTGTGGTGAGACCCCCCAGATGGCAAGGCCATTCTTTGTTTTCAAAGGAAGGTTGTCAGAAGTATTCCAGTTGATTCACAGATGTCTCCAATGACAGAGTGGCATGTCCTGGTGCTTGGGTGAAATTCCCAGTTCCTATAGAAAGAAAGGAAAGAAAGGAGCACAACAAGGAAGAGCTTTTAGATGGACCCATTGAGTTCTGGAAAGCCACTAACCAAAGTTCGAGGGCACTAATCATAGTGGCTCTAGTTCTGCTATTATAGGTGCCACAAGCTTAGAAAATAATAAATGGATTGGCTTCTACTATCTCTTGCCTGTGGGTAAAACAAAGAGGATGACTTATAGGCATTGGACATTGATGATAGGGGTATAAAGAGTAGAGTCAGGAAGTCTTGGAAAGCCTAGCTGAAGGAGATAACTAAGGCTGGAAGCTTATATCACTTTCTCCTTATTCTCCCTACCCTACCTGCTAATACCTCCCACTACCCTCTTTTCTTTCTCTTCCTTCCCTCTTCCTTCCTTCCTCCCTCCCTTCCTCCCTCCCTCCCTCTTTCCCTTTCTTTCTTTCTTTCTTTCTTTCTTTCTTTCTTTCTTTCTTTCTTTCTTTCTTTCTTTCTTT